GAAGCTACCAAGGTCCCGGAGAACAGCGGAGGAGAGGCGGCTGAATGACGCACCACTAATTGTACATTACGATCCCACATGCCCTTCGCTACTAGTCTCATCTTTCCTTACCCTCTCCTTCTCCTTTCTGTCCATCTTGTACAGGGAAAAAGGTTGCATACAGCGAGGAACCTCTTGTTTTTGTTTTCTTGGATAAACGGGCATTTGCATGTTTCTTAGCTGCATTGGCGTTGTACTATCTTGTTATACACGTGATTTTCTCTTTTGCATAGCCCCCTCCTTGTTTGTAGCATCTTTTCCAATTGGATACCCTGGGCGGTTTGCGCAGGATCTTGCGTGTGGGTGCGTTGTTTGGTAGAAAGGTTTATTTGACTTGTTACATGCATGTTTTTGTCGTCTTTGAGTGTGACTTGTTCATGATGTCTTTGCCACGCTGAAGATTGTTCATCCTCTATTGAAAGAAAGTATACGCAAAAACTGGGTATCACTAATACTACACTACATCCCGCTCACGATATCTGCACGAGCACTTCGCACAAATCCGTTCCTCCCCTCTACGCCCTCCTCTTCACCCTAGGCGTAGGCGTCCACTCCCTCCCCAACCCCGATCCTCTCCCCTCACTCCCAAATCCAGCAGTCCCCCCACCCCTCGGCGTCGCCCCACCCATCCTCTCAAACAGCCTCTGAGCAGCCGGCGTCAAATCGCCCTTCGCCTTCCTTCCTGGCGTCATGCCCCCAACAACAGCAGTAGCCGTCCCACCCCTCCTAGGCGTGGGTGCACTCAAAAACCTCGGCGTCTCGCTCGTAAAGATGCCCAAGCCCGATCCCGTTGGCTTCGCCTGAGTATGTGGATTCGATCGTTTCGCGCCGATTTTGTCGACCATTCTGTGATGCATCTTCTCGCGCGAGGAGGAGTCGTTTATCGTGAAAGGTGTCGCTGTGCTGCTGCTATCTAGACCGTAGCGTTCTAGGAGGTCGGTTGGCGCGTCGTCGTCGTCTGAGGAAGGGGAAGGCGGTTGTGCGTCGACGAAAGCGTAGCCGTTTACACGGGGTGTTTCGCTGCCTGTGTATCCTCCCTCGCTGGGATTAAGACGCGGACGTCCTGCGACAGCGTCACGCACAGCGGAGAGAGTGGGACTGGACGGGCGAGGAGGCTCGGCTTCCGGGGCGGGAAGACGCGTGTTGTTGTAGAGGACTTTCTTTGGGGGCGCGAGAGATGTGTTCTCAGCTTCTTGGGCCCGCGTTGGCGCCCATTGTTCTACGCTGTCCGGGCCGAACATGAAGCTGTTTAGGGCGGTGTGGCGGTGGCCTGTGGGTGCTGCGGGTCGTTCGTCGAGGTTCTGGCTTGGTTTTGTGCTGAGGACGATTTCCTTGCCTTCGGATGCGGCGGCGCGGGCTTCGAGGACTTTCTGTTGTGCTATGCGCTGTTTGCTCGCGTACATGTTTCCTTCGCGGAGCCAGACGTTCTTGTCGAATCGCGCCTTGTTCTGCTTGTCGATGATCTGACTGAAACTCTCCTGGTCTTCGCTCGTGTACTTTGCTTGGAATGCGCCTAGGCTCATGTTCAGGTCCACATTGTCCAGTTTGCCTAGGCCCTCATCGTCATCTTCGACTTCCGTTCCAGCGACCGTGACGGGTGTGTCCGCGCCCCATACACTTGGAGTCTTGTCGCCAGCGCCGCCTGTCTTGTCGAGCCTCGTTCTCGATGCCATCTTCCTTTGCCCACTCGGCACTGGTGTCATGACCTGTGTGAGCTTCTTGCCAGCCTCTCTTATCCATGATCGATCATTGCTTTCCACAGCATTCAGATACTCTCGTTGTGCGTCGGCTTCGGCTAGCCCTGGGAAGAAGTCGCGGCGAATGATGTGCGAAACGGCGGAAACATAGGTATCTTCGTCTAGGACTACGGAGGGACGCTTTATGCGTTTCGGTGCGGGAGGCGGTGGCATGAGCGCATTCGACGCGCTACGCTTCGTGAGCGCTGTTGGGTTGGAGTTGGACATGATGTGGTCGGGGTGGGGTTGGAGTTGCAGGGCGTGTGGAAGTTTTCTAGTGGGAGGTGGCGGCGGTGCAAATAACGACGAGGTTCGGACGCCACTGAACGGCGGAGGGTGGGTTTCCGTAAGTGTTGTGCACCCACGCGGGCTGGTGGATGAGCGTTGGCGCAAAGCGACTTTCGTGGACGATGATGTCTTAGCGCGGCAGAAAGTCTCCACCGCCTCCAGCCCTACCAAGGGTTGCGAGTGAAGGTACCTGCATAAGTACCAACACCAGTGACACAAGACACTTGGTTAGCCGCATGATGTCAAATCTTCATTGTTTGAGCAGAATGTGGTCACTTGGATAGACAGAACGTGGCGCTACTCTTAGCATTGTTTCCCTAGCATATCTGCATTGAATCTACGTGCGGTCGCATCACCGTACCCTATCATGAGAAACTCCACGTAACTCAGATAGTCTTGTACCAACGAAACGATACTTTTGAGCCTGTGCTCTTCTGTGATAACATCATATCCAATATCCCGACCCTATACAGGGCGAGTGCCTCGTGACACTTCGTAACTCGGGGCCAAATCGTGATTCTTTCAGCAGCGCACTAGGCTCAATGGCGAGTGGAGTAAAATACGGCATCCTGGCCAGTAGCCATGATCTAGTAGAAGGACTCGACCATAGCGTCCTTGTGTGTAGTGTTGATGTTGGAAGGGCCGTTGCCCTCACCGAGCCTGAAGACAGACTCGACGACGGAGAGCTCGGTCGCTGTGGTGTCAAGACCTAGATATTGAGATTAGCCCATGTTTTCGCTGACATTCTGAAGACTTATACGCACCAGTGACGGCCATCCAGTCATTGACAACCATACCCGCACCAACGACAGCGCTACCGCGGTTCACACTACCAGCTACAAGCGGCACTTGGAGCAAACTCGACAGCTCGTCTTGATCCTGAATGCTTGTCTTTGGGTGCACGATACCACCCTGATTGCTCAGAGCCATGTAGCTTCCTGTGAGCACATTGTCCGCGATGGTTTGCCTGAACACCTCCACACCCAGCACATCGGCTATGATCTCCTCTGTTTCGCGTTCTATGTCCGGGTGTACGAGAGCGACGTGGTCGTTGCAACATATTACGTTGCCCAGCGCTGATAGTCGCTCTTCTATCCTCTGGATCTTGACTTCGTCGGGTATGGAATTTCGGAGATGCTGGAGTTCTTGGTCTGTGGTTGTGGTGGGGACGAGGAGGCCTTTCTTGTTACTGTGCACTTGTTAGGTTTCGTCTTGGGGCGTGTGTCGCATAGCGCAAGCTATCGCGGGACTTTGAACGTACCCAGCGGTCAGTCTGCCGATGATCCTGGTTCCGGCAATGGTGGCGTGGCAGATGGGAATGACATCTTGGAGTTCGGCTTCGAAAACACTGTTGCGCCACCGTCAATACTAATTTCTCGCAGCGTTTACTGGCCACAGTCGCATAGCATGTCACCATACTGTAACAATCCGCGAAAAACTATAGAGCTATGCGCACCTGTAAAAGTTCTCGCTCGCGCCGACTGCGACGATCGCGTACGCGTTGGTGAGGGTAGCGAAGACACCGACTTCGTTTGAGTTTTCGAACTGGGCGCGGACAGCCATGATGGTTGAGTTGAACGTCGAGTATGTGTGTGAGGCTCTGTGGGGAGTGGAGAGGAAAAAGAAGGGTCTTTAGTACGTGGTTAGTGAGCTTGTGAGTGAAGTCTGCAGAAACTGTGAAGGCGGGACTATTTTGTAAAGAGCGACATCATAAGCCCCGCTACTGGATTGGGCCTAGCGCCTTCGACTCATCTTGAGTGAACCGAACCCTGCATACTGGAAGGGCCCACCGCGTCCCTTCGCCACTGCATCTGCATGTTGGCGCTGGAACGGCTGTGACCGTGGAAGTGAAGAGTCATCACTTGGCGACTGCGTCAGGCAAGATGAGATGCGATGTTCATCTCGACGTGATGCGACTCATACCTGTCACCGTGCGCGCTTTCGACGTGTCACTGGGATCGCACGTCCATCATCGTGAAGCAAGCCACATCCCTTCACTTTGCGACATATGGCTGTGCACTCGCCCATTCTGTAGCCTCGCCCGACTTGCAGCCTCATGGCAACCGGTCGCATTGCTTAGCAACGACCACGAAACCTTGTGATAGACTTTCGGAGGATTACTCAAAGGCGACTCAAGTCCATCGGTGTGGTCGATACCTGATCAGAGCACCGGCTTTGCTCAAGTGCACGGTGTGAAGCTCCACATGACACATGTCATAACACTCCCGTAGTCTTCCGGCTGATCGCAGTGAAGCGCCCAACTCCTCAGGTTCAACCTTGCGATGATCAATGGAAGACGCGATAGCATAGAGAAGGTGTTCGTTATATTGACGTCTCATCGTACAGCTGACGTAGGACGCATGACTATAATTACAAGATCATATAGTTCGTCAAGCTCGAACCACAGCGAGATTATCCAGGAGCAGCGCACGGTTGGCCGCTATGCTTCAGATCCCCAGCCACCGCGACAGGCACCCTTGCCTCACATCAAACTTCCAAGACGAACTGACAGGTGACAAGCAACAGGTATGGAACATGAAGATAATAGTATTGTAAAGTGGCTGATGGCGCCAAACTGGGCAAAGCAAATGGGTAATACGCTTTCGGTCACACTAGAACAAGCAGCAAAAAGAGAACGCCCGCTAAACTGCAGCATGCCGTACACGATACGCGTGGAGAATCGAAAAGTGAAAAATGTACAATAGCGGCTGCGCCTAGACAGTAGACCCAAAACGAGATCGAAGTAGATATCGAGGAGAGCGTTCATGTCGTATCCGGAGCCAGAAAAACATTAACACTTGCGTGATGGCATGATTATGATCGTAAATGGTTCGTTATGCAAATGCATCGCGTGCAAATGTCGGGTGTAAATTGTGGGATTCGGCCTGAAGAGGACGGTCGGAGAGGTTCGCTGGACTGCGGAGTGGGTATCACTCATTACATGCGCGATGCGAGAATGGCCAACGCGACGATGACGCCGATCAGGAGCGTGCCAACTCCAGACATGACACGGTTGAGGTTGCGCCACCAAGTTGCTTTCTGGAAGGACTTGTCGTCGGCGGGCCCCATCGCTTGGGCGAATTGCTGTTCCAGGTCGGCCTGGCTGGCGGTTGGGGTACCAACAGCGTTGGGGTCGAGGGGTAGAGGAAGGAACGCGGCAATTATCCAAGCTGTATTTCTGATTAGTACATGTCCTCATTCATACGGTGGTATCTCGTGGGTTAAGGCTTACCAGGTGGGAACAGGAATCCTATACAGAAAAGCAGGATCTGTCTGTTTTGGCGCCCGAAGAGTGTGGCATGAACGTCATCGTCCAGTGATGGTGCGTTCCAAGCGCTGTACAATTGTCCTCTCCGATCGGTCCGGAGGTGCGGTGTTGAGTAACCGCTGAGCGGGTACATGTGAGGTCCGACTGCGTATACTGCTCCGTCAATCGAGTGAACGTCGTCTGCTAGCGAGACAGTATCGGCGTGTGAAGCGCGGTTCCTTGAATTGTTCCTCGGTCGGTTCCGTGGTCGGTAAATGCTGAGTGGGAAGTTGCTCTCTGAAGGAGTGCGCGATCGTCCGCTGTGGGCGGTTCCCAGCCGTACGCTCTCAGAAGACTCGGATTCCGGGGCTCCAACTGAGATGCGTTCTCCCTTTTGGTAGTAAACCCTTGCCCAAGCTGGAATGTTGTCTGCAATGAATCTCGACATATGCGACTGAGAGGATCCAGGTCGCTCGTCGCTCATCGATACTGCATCGGTACTATTGGCTCTGTTGCGCAAGTACCCCGAGTTCTTCATGCGCAGAGGGATCGATGTAGGCAGCGGCGAGATCGTGTCCATGTGTTCACTGTTATCATCGGATGAAGATCTTGTCGTAGGAGAGAAGAGCGGCCGGGGCACTGGCACTGCAGAGAACTCGGTATGACCTTCCGACGATACATTGTCCGACGACGACTGCGCGCTCCCAATTGTCTGTCCCCTCCGGCGTGGAATCGCTGTTCGACCGTTGCCCGCATAGCTTTCTTGTGAATGTGATCTGGCGCCGAGCGACCGGGAGTTTCGTGCGAGGGATCGCGAATCGCGTTCGGAAACGGAGGCGATTGTTGACAGCTGGGAGCTCCAGTGATGTACCAGCGACGGGTCGTGCATCCGGGATGCGATGTTGGGCGCGTCCTGGGATTCGGCTCGCGAGCTAGTACCGGACGGCGCGCGTACGACGGGGTAATTAATTCGGATTCCGCTCGCGAAGGATGCTGTGCTGGCTTCATGAAGAGATGGCGATGGTTGCGATGAAGCTAGTGTATGTGTTGGTTCGATGCTGGTGTATGAAATATCAGAAAACGTGAACGACTCTGTACTTTGTTGAGGATGCAATACAGGTTGTCGATAGTCAGTGTCACAAGTGAGAGCAGGCCCCCTAGCTTGACGTTCGGTTGCCGCTGGGCCTTGGGGAACTTCTGGTAACGGTCGACCGAAACTGACACTTGACGAGTTTCCGGCATTACTAATTGGGCGTGGTGTGGTGGTAGGAGCAGGTGAAGCAAAAGATGCAGCAGAGGCCTTAGGCGTTAATGCACGGTCGGAATCTCCTCCAGAAGAAGAGGGAGGAACAGCCCGGATAGTTGGCCTTGTAGATTGTGAGGAGACGACCTCCTCAAGTACCTCGAGACCTTTTGGTTCATCTTCTAATTCCGGTGGGGGTGAGGATGGGGCAGTGCTCCCCTGGGAAAATCTTAAAGACGATGGCGTAAAAGAGGATGCTACGAGGGTATCTTCCTCTGACATGCTAGTGGAGCCCGAATGTCTGAAACCCTTCTTCCGTGACAGGATAGGCTGTGGTGTTCGCGCTCGGCTCGCCTCGAACTTTGCGATGGTATTGGCGACCTGGCTGCTATTTGAAACACGAGATCCCGGCCTTTCAAAGCCATAACCCGGCGCATGACGGGGTGGGGGCAGGATTTGCGAGGGTTCGCTGGGTACGGGATATTTCTGATAGATGTCATGTCCGGGATCTTGAACAATGCGGATGGTTGACCCAGAGTCGCGGTTAGTTTGCGAGTTTGAGCGTTCGTGAAGCGGCTTGCGGATAGGAGACGTGTTTGTTGACTGCGACTGCGGCGGGTCAAATCGAGGACCTTGTGCGAGTGTTTTTTCGAGTGCGTTTTGTGAGTCTGCGCGACTGTTGCGTTGTTGTGAGGACATGCTGTGATGGTGGTGTGGGCCGAGGATGCCGAGATGTGGATTGGTTGTAAACGCGGGCGGAGAAGTCGAAACCGATCATTAATGATGGGGCGTGGGTAAAAAGACAGTAAAAATAGGACGTAAAGACAGTATGTGAAGATAGTCAAAGAGTGACAAAAGTGCTAAAACATATCAAAAAGAATGGCGGCCCGCAGGCATTAACAGTATGAGGAATGGAGGGAGGGAGGACGAGGAGTGGTGGTGAGGTGAGGACGGCGGGCGTCTGGCAGCAGCTCGGCCTAAAGAGGGTTCGTGGCTGTATGCAGAAGCAGGTTCGCGCTGCAGGAGCGATCCAATTGACAGCTCAGCCCCGGCCAGTCTGGAGCACGACCCGCGACTTATGATGACTTGTACAGAGATGGACCCAATTCGCACAATATGACTTTCGTCTAGCCTATACCGGTCGACAAGATGATATGAGCTGCTGGATGCGCGGTCCACCTGGGAGTGCGATCACTGCGACGCGCCTGGGGAACCCTCGTCGAACAGCCTTCCTAGTCAATCGGGAGAAGCGCGTCGCGGTTGAACGTTTAAAATGAAATTATATTTTGGGACGGGCCAGTGACGACGCGCAGCGTGGCGGACTAGCCGTTGAATGGCAGAGAGGCTGGCCAGTGGGCCTTTGGTTGTGCGTGCTGCAGGGGTAACGCGGGAGGGCGTGCTAAGACGTCGTGGGCGCTGATGGCGCGAGTCGCAGGAGCCGAGACGAGGGAACGGACGATCGGGGCACGTGATCCAGCGTGACCGATGGGGCTTGGCGGGGTATCGAAGGTGAATGGCTGCGCTGCGCCAACAAGATGCGCGCGACAACGCGGGGGGATCTTGTGCACCTATAAACAACGCCCATGATTCTTTTCCTGCCTCTCCTGTAGCGCGTTTGACGTGCGGCTGCTTTTTTGCAACACCTCGCCATGCCTCCACCCCTCAACGGCTGGCGCGACAAGCTCAGTGCGCTCGAAGACTTGTACCAGCGACATGTCAAGGGCGGTAAGTTGGCGCTCCTCCACCTCAAACCCTCTTAAACGCCTGCGCGACCCACATCGGACGAACTCTGTTGCGCTTTCCTGTCGAAACATCGCCATGAGGTCTAACGTGGTGCCAGTTCCCAAACCGCCTGTTCTTTCGTCGAGAGTTGCGGCGCTTCTGTCGGTACGTTTCAAGTTTGCTCCCCACCACCATTGCCATTGTTCTCACCCAATGGCACCGCACGCGCCAAACATGCTGAAGTAGCTAACACCCACGCCCGCAGGCCGCCTATGTCTTCATCTACGTAATCCCCTTCTACCTGTCGCCCGCCACGCGACCCTCTCCGACTCTTACGCGCGATGCGCCGTCGTCGATACGCGCCCGGGTGCGCGCAGTGACCTTTTCCACCGTCCTATGCTCCGTCCTCACCATCGTCGTACTGTACCAACATGACGCATCGGCCATGGAGATCATCCGTTTGCTTGGCATCTGGCCTGTTTCACTTGTAGATACCATCCGGACCATGCTTCTGGTGACTATCCTATTCGCGGGTCCCATCTTCGAGCATGGCATTGTAGACGGTGACTGGAGAGACTGGATCAAACTAAAGGGCGTCCACGAGACCCTGAGCAGCTGGATCGGATACAGGAACTACATAGTCGTGGGTCATCTACTCTAGTCCACCCCTTCCTATTCTAACCTGCCCAGGGCCCCGTCAGTGAAGAAGTCGTGTGGCGCTCGTTAATCATCCCCCTCCATGTCCTCGCGCAGTTCTCCGGCAAGCAGATCGTCTTCCTCACGCCACTGTACTTCGGCATCGCGCATCTCCACCACCTCTACGAGTTCCGCATAACCCACTCTGAAGTCCCGTTCTTCGTCGCCGTGCTCCGCTCACTCTTCCAGTTCACATACACGTCGCTCTTCGGTTTCTTCGCAGCCTTTGTCTTCATAAGAACCGGAAATGTATTCACGTGCATGATAGCGCATACCTTTTGCAACTGGATGGGCCTTCCGCGGTTCTACGGCCGTGTGGGTGTCGAAGCCGGCAGTCCCATCGGACCGCCAGACGTTGACAAGAAGGATGATGAGCAGAAGAGCGTCCCACTGTATAAGGGCAGGGGTGTTGGATGGACCGTGGCCTATTACATTGTGCTTGTAGCAGGCGCTCTGGGCTTCTACTATCAGCTCTTTCCGCTGACTGAGAGCAGTCACGCCCTGCCTGTAGACTTGACGAAGGCGTAACATCACCATGCGCAGTTGGAACACACCAGGCTGCAAGCAGTAGACTACACTTAGATGTGCTGCACGTTCACGTATGAGGTATAGCACAAGTAAATATCATCGAGATGCTCATCTGAGTCTCGCAATAGCCCACCAATTATCCTTCTCATACCCCGACTCCAATACAACTCCACCAGCCTGCTCAATGTCCCCTTCAAGTTCCCCTTTCCGATACAAATGATAATACCTCAAAAACGTCTTGTCCCCATCCGGTTTCGGCGCCTCTTCTTCGTCGGCCTGACTCTCATCCTTCTTCTTCCTCCGCCCCTTCTCCTTCTCTTTCTTCTGCTTCAAGACCCACGGTACCATGACGTCCTGCTCATGGCCCTCGTCCCAACCTCGTCTACTGTCTTTCTGTTCAAGTGCCCAGACATAGATGAGTGCTCTGCCACTCTCCAGTCCAGCACCTCCACCTTGGTTCGACGGTGACGAAGGCCGCAGTAAATCCAAAACACACTTCACAGCCTCTACTCTCCGTGCCGGCGTCGACAAATGATGGATAACCGCTATCGAAATTGCGAAATCAAAAACTCCATTTGGATGAGGCAGAGAGAGGTTGTCTGCCACCACTACATCGTGCGGTTCATGTTGTTTCGCAATTTTGACAAGGTTTGTAGATCTGTATCGACGTTAACTTCCAAGCACGAAAGCCATTACTACTCGTAGGATAGACAATTCAATGAACAAGAAATTATAACATACCGATCACTACCCACAATCCATACCTTCTTATTAACAGCCAAATACTTCCCATTCCCACACCCGACATCTGCGCCTATAGCGCCATCATGCTGTTCTTTTAGGAAACGCTCGACTATGGGCCAGGGCTAGCATTCGCGTTAGTCATGCATGCGGTTTTGGAATATTTGTGACGGGTGGACGCACACCTTGTAGCGGGTGGAAGAAAAGTGGGATGCAATTTCTTC